GAACCACAGAGCGTGAACATTAAAGCTAGAAGTCCCAAATCCCAAAGCCTAAACCAAAAGACCATTCGTTGCCAAAGAAACTACCAGTTCCTCAGAAAATACAGCCAAGAGGTGCTGGTTAACTGTGTACACTGTACAGAGGAAACCATCCCTCATGAGCTCTGCACGCACTTCACTTACAATCTGAAGTGAGAGATGGAAGTGCACAGACTTAACTTCCTTAGTTACAAATATTACACTTCCTTTCCTTTAATTTCAACAAGTGATCCTTTCCTCACATTATGCCACACGTGAGCCTTCCTGGTCCATTTCAGTTGCCAACACCATCCCAAAGACTGCACTTCATACAGTTCAAGTCCTTCTTCTCACTAGGCTTTTATTTACCCATGGAGACCTACATTTTCAGAAGTAGTGATTGCTGGTGTCCAAATTTAGACTTTTAAATAAAGCCCTGATTATCCAAGAGCACAGAGCACACAACCACTAAAAACAAGGCCTCAAACTTCAGGCAGAAACATTTTCAGTGTGCTCTGGGATTTTTTTTTTCCATTTGACTTAAGAAGCATCGTAGAAATGAGTTCATTTAACCTGTCAGTGCAGCTTTAAATTAGATGGATTTTTATGCAGATTTGTAGATGTGAACTAAGCCACATGCCAAAGCATTTACAAGGGCAAAATCCCAGGTGGGATAATAGTTTTTATGTACATACATACATATATATGCATATATACACACACACAAAACTCTCCAAAGGACGTGTATATTGCAAAAAAGAATGTGTTCTTAATTCCCCTTGGCAAATCTGAGTTAACTTGATTTAAAACAACAATAAAGGCAAAGTAGATTAGGATTTAACTCAGGCTAGCAATTTGAATTTGAGCCTTTAAAGTAGCAGTCGGTGAAGTTTTCCAGTAGCGGGCTGAAATGGTTCAGTTTGGGTCCAAGACAGGCCAATGTTAGGACCCAATCACTGTCACCACCATTTCTCCCAATGACCTGGCTATGATGCAGCAGAGGAAAGGTCTTGGCTGTCCAGCTACATCATGGCATAGCATGGTATGGGCGAAGGCCCTGCTACTGAATGCCACTGAAGACCCTGTCACCAAATACTGATGAAACCTCAGCTCTGTGACTGGATCCAATGGTTCAGTGAGCTAGATCCAGCCTGTGAGCCATAGGTTGCTGATCCCTGTTCTAAAGGTACTTGGCTAATGCAAGTTAAAGTGCAAATTACCTTGCCTTCATTGCCATGTCAGCTCAAGTTAGCTAACAGAGGTGAGACAGCCCATCTGATGAACACTTTCTTTTGTGGTGTCAGCATCTCATGCTAAAGAAATTTACCTAGTCCTTTTGGAATATGAAAAACTATCCTGTTAATACCAATTTGAGTTAGAGAACATGGCAGGGCTCCTGCACTTCTCCCTGTCAAAGCTACTGAGAAATAGAGAATAACTGAAAGAATAGTAAATTAGACAGGAAGACAATAAAAATCCAGTGGGCGTCTTCAGCCCCATTCATACTAAAATCTACATCAATTTGTAGTTCCAAGGAAAATATTATTCTATTTTCTCACGTATAACATGTCCCAGAATAGATTTTAAAACTTTATTAGTGAATGTTAAAAGCTGTGGTTAGCTACATGGGTTTGTTGGGATTAAAGAGGATATGGATCCCCGTGCATCGTGACTACAGGGAGCATAGTTGGGATGTGTTGATGCACTTGGTCATGCAGCCTATGTTAGCCCAGGGTAAATGGGGGAAAGAAAACAGCAATGCATCGCTGTTGAGAGGATACGTGGCCCCGCATATTGTAATCACACCAGGTAAAGAGCAAAGCTTGCTACCAACCCCGTGTACTGGATGGAAACTGTGCACCCACCCCAAGCTCAGGATCTAGGGCCATGCACCGGGTCCAGTCATGGCCTGACCCAACACACTGGCTTGATCCGATGTATGGGGCCATGTCATCCAGCCAGGATCCAGAATTTTTTTTGGCAGGGGGAGCAGTGGCAGTTTTAATTGCCAGGGCTCCCATTGCTGCAGCAATTAAATCTGCCAACACTCCTTTGCCACCAAATTTCCAAACTTGCAAAGACCCATATTTCTAGTATATAATGAGCACCCCAATTTCTACCAAATGGTTTGGGAAGGGGAAGGCGGGAGGAGAAGGTGGTGCCTTTTTTTTTTTTTTTGCAAGACTACATAGTAATCATGCATCCTTTTTGTTTCTTCAACAAAACATTAAGATTCTTCATGCATTTGCACCACTGATTCCTCCATAATTAGGGCATCTATAAAAAACACTTTGAATCGGTGATGCTAGCATGAGGGAGTCTGTTCTGATACTTCTCACACTTCCCCCATCCACTTTTGTTCTGCACAGATGGTCCCAATCATGCTTGCTCTTAAAGCAGGCTCAAGTCTCCAATGTTTCTCAATAAAGGCTAGAAAAAATACCCTTCCTCATTCTGTTGAACAAGATCGCTCAAAAAGAAACAATTACATAGTTTCTTTTAGTATCTTTTTCACTAGGAGAGTCAAAAACACCCACAATCCAATACTCCCATATCTAAGAAAGTTGGAAGCTGAACAGATGCAGAAAACTGAATCTTTTTGTGGTTATTTTGTTGTGAACATATTTGATCGTGTCATTCATTGTTAGTTTGCCATCCCTTTCTTTGTCATAAGTAAAGGGACTGTCAGACACTGCTAGCTGGGATGGATGTTCAACAACTTCACCCACGTCTATTTCTTCTGTGGCACCGTGCCATCCCCTTGATCCAACTAGTGCATGGGAAGTGCTATGAGAATTAAAAGGTTTGGGGGATTTTTAAATGAACAAAATTCCCGCTTCACCTTTTTAAACACACTTGGGGTGACGAAGGAATGTTAGAGATGTTAATGGAGCCTCAGTATTCCCAAGAGATGCGTATGGGAGTACTGAGATCAGAAAAATTGAAGCACAGCAGGTTAAAAGCTAGGCCCAAGTATGGAGTAAGCTGTTGGCAGAACTAACAATTTCAACGTTCATCTGAAAAGCACAGATTCTTGGCTTCCAGTCCTGGCCCCCAACTACTAGACAAGACTCCCTGTCCTATGTTAATGAATATAAAGGCTGATGCCAACTGGAATTACATGTGAACAGAAAGAATACATATTTTGGTCTCGACTTCTGGCTAGGAAGCAGCAGCAAGATGCTAGCTCTTCCTCAGAACAGCCATCGCTGACATCATATATGGAGCTAGCCACACATAAGCAAGTGTACCTTCCGATCTGAAAATCCATTTGGAATAATATTGGAAATGATGAGAACACACTGGGTCAGACCAAAGACCCACCTAGGCCAGGTTCCTGCTTCTTATAGAGGCAGAAAGTGGATGCTGAAGGGAAAAGTATTTCTGCAGGGCTTATCCTAGCTGATCTGTCCCCTGCCCCTCTTCCAGCATCCAGAGGCCTAGAACTTCTCATTTGTAGTTGCACCCTTCACTATGTTGTAATACTCACCGATGGACCTATCCGGTATGAATTTATCCCATCCCTTTTGAACCTGGTTAAATTATCAGCTTCCACCAGTTTGTGCTAATGAGTTCCATAAGTCAAATATACATTGTCTGAAAAAGATCTTTATTTTTAAACCTGGTTTCTAATAAGTTCATTGTACATTCCCTAGTTCTTGTACTGTAAAAGATGGGAAATACTAAATCCCTATGTATTAGCATCACAGCATTTTTTATTGCCTCCTGGGGTAACAAGGAATAATGGTCACAAACTGACAGAGAACAGGTTTAGGTCAGATATTAGGAAAAACTTTTTCATGGTAAAGGTGGCCAAAATTTGGAGTGGGCTTCCAAGGGAGGTGGTGCTCTCCCCTACCTTGGGGGTCTTTAAGAGAAGGCTGGATAGGCATCTGGCTGACCCCAGCACTCTCTCCTGCCTAGGTAGGGGGTCAGACTCGATGATCTGTTGAGGTCCCTTCTGACCCTAGCATCTATGAATCTGTATACAAAATCTAATATTGAGCCAAAGTGTAACAGTAATTCATTTTTCGCATGTACATTGCACCTCATTGCAAAGAATTTATAAATCACTTCACTTGGCATCCACAGATACCAGTGAAGCCACCATGTTTTAGCAGGACAAAATACAAGGGGGAGAGGAAAGCAGTGCAAAATATATTCATAAGACAAGACAGAGGGATCATTCCTACCCTTATAAGAAAGAAATGAGAACTTTGTGGCCCACCCACCCACAGCACCCAGGTCCCCGGGGTTTTGGAAATCACACCCAAGCTATACCCTTTGCCTTACCATGCCATCAGTGCAACTTTAGTTTTATGCTTCTGTCCTATCTTACCAATGATCTAGGAGCTGAGTAAATATTTTGGGGCTTGTGCTGTGAATATCTAATGGTCTATTAAAATAACTGGAACTTGCCTTGCTGTTCTTTATTTTAACTCCTCTATTTTGGCATATTAGTGACACTCACACAGCAGCTTTACGATAGCGATTTAAATGGGTTTAGACAGCCAAATCAGAAAGAAGATACACAATACTACAGGTCTAAACTAGACAAATAAAAATACTCCCCCTCCCACCCATACTTCTCTCTCAAGAAAACATTTTTACAGAAAAGCGCTAAGTGGGTCATTGTTAGCCAAATTTTCATAGGGGTTCCTAGATTATGCACGCACAAGGAAGTTAGCCTGGTGTATGCAGTAACCATTTTTTCATGCACAAGAATCCAGGTAGGCATGATTTTTTTTTTTTTTTTTTTAAAAATGGGCACAGGGGCATAATTTTGAAAGGCAGAATTTCAAGGACTCTTTTAAAAGATGATCTTATCCCATAACCAGTCTCTCCTCACCTGCCATTCCAAGACCATACTCAACTTTTAAAGGTAGAATTTGCAAGCCATTTTTTCCAAACTGAGCTACATCACCATTCCCCACTCCCCAACGGTATTACAAATTACAAGTTTTATTATCTTTTCCCCTCCATACCTTGTCGCTGCTTCTATATTTGGTCCATTTCTTCAGCATTTTTAGCCATTTGTCCACTCGCTCTATCTCCTGCAGTTTGTGCTGGAAAAAAATCAGTTCAACCCAAACAATATTACAGAAGAAGGACTTTTCAGTCTCATTAAACTAAACCGTGTGATAACATCATCTCACATTCAGTTTCATACACACACCTTTTGTAGCAGTGACAGGAAATAATGAGAAGCGCTTGCAGAGGTAAACAGCCTCTTCCCAAAGTAAGGAATGAAATGCCCAGGCTGGATACACAGACCCTTCTTGCAAAAGGAGCATTCCTTGACAGTCACAGATGTTACAGTGCACACCCAACCACAAGCTGCTCCACACTGCATCTACCAGATGGCAGACAGCTGCTAGAGAAGGTTTAGTCCCAGTTAGGGTTCTGATCTGGAAACTGGACAGTCATGTTACTGCAAAGCAAGCGGGTCCCTTGTGGTGGTAAGGAAGTAAACTTTACTAGTTGAGCTGACAGGAAGCCTGTTTGCACCCTATCACTCACAATCTAAGCATGTCACAAGGATTTTCACTCAGAGGTAAGTTCTAGATTCACCTCCCCACCAAACCACAGTGCAGTTATGAACTCTTACACTCTGAGATCCTGAAACTAAAGGCTTAGTAAAAACTGAATCAATTTATTTTTCTGAACTAATTTTGGGCTTCCTTGAACCTGCAGAGAAACCTCCCCTAACAGAATAGTTCTCTTCTGCTGAGACAGAGCCATCTAACCGTGACTTGAATATCAGAAAGGGGGCTGTGATCTACTGGCAGCTGTACCAATGCACAAGGTTTAAGATTAATGTATCAACATCACGCCCTGCTCAGCTTCCTTAATGTTCAAAAGACTGGTCCCACAACTCAGGGCAGAATCTGATTCTGACCTCCTCTCATCGCAGTTTTTATTCCATTAGTACTGAATAACTAGCTACATCTCAGGACTTGCAACCAGTGAACTTAGCTGGGGGCTCAATACTTACCACAGGACAGAAACCTAGTAGAGTACCTCAGCTCTCCATTTTCCCTGCTCCAAAGTGAGCTAACACCACTAGGAGTTTTCACCACTTCCCTAGCATGTGGTGGTTGGCTTGCCCCAGCATGCAACACTTTGAGAGCTGCTCCTCGGTGAGCAGATTTCCTCAGATGACTTTATGGTAAGGAGTTACTCCATTAACCTCACAGCCACAGCCAAGATGAAGCTGGTTTTTATTTATTTGAAGAAAATTGTGCTCATGTGCCATGCCTAAGGTCTTTACTTGCTGTTAAACAGCAGGCCCCATCACCTCCCTGTTCAGCACTGTGTTTTACAAGGTCTGATCTCAACAGGCAGTAAAACTCTTCCCGTTCTTACCTTCTCTTCCACCGCACTGCGGATCGGCAGCTCTTGTTCACTGAAACGGTAAGAATTTGTGATTGAAGCTACAGGCAAAAAACGTTTGAAGCACTACACGGTGCATAGTGGAAACATGCATTGATCAAGTGTTGAAGCAAAAATTCACTGCTTTACAGAGATGGCCTGCCTGAAAGGAAAATCAATTGTTTGTTGAAAGTTTAGGGTCAGAAGTGGCTTTTTAGTAGAACACGTAAACAAATCTTCTACCACCCTATCTTCAATGGTAAATGCTGTTTCCAAGGGAAAACTCCCACTTGCAGGACATACCTGATGTTCTGTTAGGAAAATTGGAAACAAAAAGTATTTCACTTTGAGGTCAGCCTTGCTCCTAATCAAAACACTACAGTTTGATGCTACGGTTAACTGCATCTACTTGGAAGTGTCACGGTACCTTATTCATTCCTTCGTTGTCTCTGTGCTGGAGTTCCTCATTTGTATTATACCTCCCTGATGTATTATCCTCCATGCTCCAAATGAGCCAAAAGCAGTGAGTCATGGGGTGTCCCATGCCACATCATGGGAGTCCGGCTAGTGATCCCAGCCCACAGAAAGGAATCTGAGCAGGAGACACCTGAACTACAGCTCCCATGCTGCACTGCAGAATTTGGGAAGATGCAGTCTGATTTTTTAACTAAGCCAAGGGATCTCAATTTAGTTTAAACCAGAATGCTTTCATATGGGAACACGAAAGGGATTAGCTTTGATCAAAACAGTTGCAAGAAGAGGACTCAAATTCCTGGACTTCCCATTCCATAATATATACTGACTTTGTTGAAATATGGCACAAAAGCGAGCATCAAAACATGGGTGTTTTCTCCCCAGGAAAGGCATTCCAATTCGTGACCAGCTGAACTGCTTAGAAAAGAAATAAGAGGCCCCAAAAGAGTTGTTTCCTCTGCTTCTACTTCCCCCTGCATGCCAAGGTGCAAGTGCATGATGCTCCAAGTCCCAGAAACACAAGATGCACATTCTTGTACTGAGGCAGTGCTCTGTTCTTGACTGTGAACAAAGCCAGATGAGTGCTGAGACAGGCAGTCTCTGACTCTAGCCTTGGCCAACAAGAAATAGTTTCTCTCTCAAATTCTTCTGAGAACATAATGGCTGCCGCCATAGATTTTCTAAACTGTTGGCCTACTGTCAGATTCTCCCTCCTGACCATCTGAAATCTTTTCAAGGAAGACTGTTTATTCATAGCAATTTGGGAGAATCCTTGAATGGTGGAAAATTTCCACCTCAGAAAGCTTCCATGTGTTCAAACACAAGCAGACAACACATCCATTTCACTTTATACATGTGGGACTAATCAAACAGCCAACAAAGGTGTTGAAGTCACTGTCAGGTCAACAACCTACATCAACACACCACCAAGGGCAGCTGGAAGAAGACGAGCGAGTAACTTACTGGAGAAATCCAAATCTGTCCGTGACCTTATACAGGGTGAAGTCAGCATCTTCCCATGGGTCAATCTGAGCTCCTTCCTGCCTTCCCTGCAAAGCAAAAGATGACAAGAGTCACCCCTGAAATGATGCCAACAGTGCAAGTTCCTCAAAGCATGAATGCACTAGTTCTTAACACTTATAGGAAAGGTATGAGAGCAAGGACTCTGGCATAAAATACAGGCCTCAGCCAGCAGGTCTCCCTTTGTACTGGCTGGCCCATGTGCCTCAGCCATGAATGCATGCACATAATTAGGGCTATGACAAAGTGTAACCCATTCTCCTCTGCAAGGGGATACAGTGCTGAAGAGCACAAGTCTTATTATTTGTTCGGTCTCCAAGCCCATTCAGTCCCTCTGCTGACACTGTCAGGTCTCCTAGTCACAGAACTGGTAGTCCAAGTCAAATGGTGACAGCCTCAAAACCTCAGAGGGAGAAGGTCTGAATAACATGGGGAAAAATGGAAACCCAGTACCAAGTGAGAAGGAAACTGATAATGAAAGTTCTTTGGTTTTGCCTTGTTCAGGTAGAGATAGTGGAAACTATATTTGAAACGACCAAATAGAGTTGCCTCAGCCCATCTGCAAAACCTTCATCATGAGCTAATTATACACCCTCAAATGTTGCCTGTATTCTTCAGTTCTTTGGGCAGAAGCCAGAAAATGGTGGGTGGTGTAGTGTAATATTACTGGCTAATGTCTGAAAGAAGACATCCCCTTTTACTGTATCAGGCACTCCTGCTTCCCCCAGATGGGTAAGCTCTTAAGCAGCATTGTGGCTGGTTGACAGATTAGTACCTTTTCATACTTGGCGATGATCTCAGCTCTTTCCTGTGCTATTAAGGTGTCGATATCTTTCTTCATGTCAGAAGCTGTAAAAAGCAAAAAAGGAGAGGAAAAAGGAGATAATAAGCAAATGTGCACACAGGCTGGGGAATATTTTGGGAGAGTGCTAATAGAAAAAAGCTTTGCTGAGAACTTCAACTTCCAGCCTCACCCAAAGCTAAAATTAGGCTGTGAATGAAAAGCTGCAGAAACAAAGTGCATTTGGCGCTTGCACATAGTGAGCACAGCTGCTAAATCTGTGGTCTTTCCATGGGCAAACAATTGGATTTGAGCAAGTGGGAGTTTTGTCCCCATCAAGAACTGCAGGATTGGTTGCTGTGCATTTTTTCTTCACATGCCTACACTCAAAATCAAGTTTTTCCTGAGATAAATGAAGGTTAAAAGCCCCGCAACATTAGAACTGTTATATTGTACCAAAGTTTGGGCCAGCTGGATTCCTACAGGGCTTGGCATTTACTCTGATAAAGGGAAAGGCCAAGTCCTGCCCTCGCACACAAAAATCACAGGAAGCTCTATGTGGGCATCTGAAAACAGTCACAGAAGAGGTAGGGAGGGAATCCTTCAGAAAACATTAGCTACTTCATTTCATGCATACTTTGAACACAGAGATCAGACTAACATAAGCAACAGAACTGCAAAGAAATTAAAGGACCTGGATACCACAAGCACTTTTGCAGGTGGCACTTGCACCTTCCTATAAAGTGACTGAATACATCAATCCATCAATACTGCTAAGACAGTGTTGTTCATCAGGCCACTGTCCTGGAACCCAGGCTATCTGCTTTGCTTTGTACCATATGCATGCAATCACCTGAAGGCAACTTCCCATCTCCCAGATGCTGGGCCAGTTTTAGAACCTCCACACAAAATCCTGGTTAAGAGAAATGGAACAGCCTTCCAGTCACACCACAGCATGTTTCCAAATGAGCATGGGAAGCTTCCCAGGCACTGATAATCTGCAATAAGCATTTGAACCACAGTCTGTATGGCAGTCTGCAGGAGACCCAACATGGTCACTGCAAGAATCATCTACCATGCTAAGGAGGAACCTGGAGGGAATGAACTTGAAAGAAGAGCTGCGGTCTTCACTGAAGACAACAAAATTGAAAAGGGAGACATTAGTTATATTTCTCCTTATATTAATACAGGACAGTTTGCTACAGCATATGATCCTGTTAGTTCTTCAATCAGTATCATTTGAACTAAACTAGCTGATGCAACTAACACCAAGGCTAAGTATAGACAGTCAAAAAGCCCAAAGCTGAATTGATTCAGTCTTCACAGGTTAATCTAAACTGTGCAGATTGAACTGATAAACAAGTAAACAGACATTCACTTTTGATTCTGGAAATGCAGCCACATGCCTGAAGTGGCACAGGCCAGAAGCTGGTGGGAGGCAGGGGGCAGTGCAAGAGCATGCCTCCCTGCTCTGCTGGAACAGACAGTTTGAACCAAGGCTAGCCGGCCCACCCCGGGGGGAGGAGGGAAAGGGGGGAACTGCAGGGGAGGTGCAAAGCATCCTGGGATACTGGGGGGCTGTGAGTTAACTTGAATCTGGAGGGGATTTGGGACAGAAGTTCAATAAAACATTTTAACCTAAATCAGTTAAGTCTGATACTACATCCATCCTGGTTTAACTTAAACTGGCCATTTTGAAAGCAATTTATGTGCAATGAACTTCTGTGTTATAGATCTGAACTGGTTTTGATCACTTACACTGGTTTATGTCTAATTTCTGTCCCTAGCCCAAGTGGAGGGGAAGTAGAAAACTAACACTTATGTAATTTTACCTAAGACTGTAACAAAGATGCATCCTGTAGCAGAGAAGGTACCACAGTCCTCAGTTCCAATTCTGAGCTACAGAGTAGTGATGCAAAGGCTGGAGATAGGTTGCCCCACACCTTATTATCCTGCTATCATTTGCCCTCACTGTATTTTAGTGGTGCAACAGACCAGAGCTTCTAAGAGAACAATTAATGAGCGAGAAGGTGCCCTGTCTGCTGACCCTGGTTGAAATTTTGATTGAGTAACTGTACATGTATTTCATAATTACTTGCAAGTAGAAAAACTTCAGCCCATCTCAGAATTAAGCTGTTCTGGCATTAAGTTTTTTTGTTATTGTTTACTTCTTTACAATACTTCTTGGTCTGAAATCTAGACAATGCTAGCTATGGATGCAGTTCAAGTTGAAAAGTAATGTTGCATCATCATGTATGGCTAGGTATTTCACAGTCAGTCTGACAAAACAGTATTTCAAGGCCAACATATGTAACCATAACTGTAATGAACTGTGTTATGTCAAGAGCAGGAATGCAAAGGAGACTGAAAAAAGAAAAAGTTTTTTCATTAGTAGCTTAGTTTGGAAAAGAATTTTAAGTCTTAGGACCTTCTTACACGTTACATTTAGCACGTGTTAACTGAATTTACAACGTTAGTGCCCAAGCATTCAAGCAGTGAAGCGCATACTAAGTGACATCATAGCATACTAAAGTTAGGTCTCTTCCAGTGAGGAGCATCTCCAGATCATATTACTAACACACACTGAACTAATGTTGGACTGCTCCACACAGATAATACAATAAGGAGACTCTGGTGCAAATTGGAGGCTGGGGGCCTGACAAGCAGTTGTTTGTTAGGGCCCACCCCCACCGCATCAGGGCCTGGAGCCAGTTCAAGGCTCCAGTACATTGCAGGGGTGGAGACAGGCTCCTTGATGGTGCTGGCATTACTCCCAGGCCCTCTACGACACTGGAGCCTTGAATCTGCCGCACTGTAATCCCAGAGGTAAGACAGGTAATTTTCAGTCTGAGTCCTGGGCTTGCATCAAAGTTGATTTGAAACTCCAGTGAGGTACGACAATCTATATTTGGATCATAGTAAGCATCAACATGCAACTGCTCAGAAAACCTGAAGTCATCTTCATGCTTACTACAACCTAAATATAAAACACTCAAAACGTAATATGTAGCAAGGCCCTTACCAAACTTCTTAGAAAAGCTTATATAGAGGGGAAATATCTCTCTTCTCTGTGCTCTAAATAGATTCATCAGAAGCAAAAGAGAGACAAAAAGCTACTGAAGTCTTCAAAAGTTCTCTCTCACCAATCTGTACTTAATTCTAACATCACCCAGAGCTCTAATTAGAATATCTGAAATCTGTTCAGTGTTCATTTTCACTACTAAACCTCTTTGCAAGCACATTACTACCGGCTTCAACTCATACAGCTTAAAAGGAGTTCATTAGGGGAAACTGGAAAGCCCTATTGGTACCGACTTTAAAAAGCATTTTGGAACACAGTTCAAAACTATTGGTTCACTAACAAAAAGCCAATTATGCTTTAAGCAAGCTAAAAAGTCACCTATGGTGTAATAGGTATAGACACATGTTCAGCTCTCTTCCAGCATACACAGGGCTGCTATTACAGTTAATAGGAGCCAAACTGATAAGAGAAGACCAGGCCCAAAAGAACAATTTCCTTAAGCACAATATACTAACAAGGTAAAAGACATTTCTGAGCAGTACTAAAGCACTAAGGAAAGGAGATTATTGCTAAGGACAACAGTGAGCGCAAAAGTGAGACTGAGCAATAGTTCTATTTCTCTCTAAAATAGCTGTCCAGGAGTGATAAGAAAGCACACTTTCTGGGCCAGAAATTGGGTTGAAAAGGGACATCTCTGCTTTATGTTTCCAATCCTACAAAGTGCAACACTGGCCATTACTTTATCATCTCTGGAAGGCAAGCTTCTCAGGCCTTTTGGCACAGATCATGTGTAGTGAGTGCCTTTGCTTGCCTGGCAGGGGAACACTGTGACCACCAAGGCAGTTTTCTTAGTTGTGCCTGGGGATGACTGCTCTCCTGGCACAGGAATAGTACCCACCAAGGTAACGTATAGTTAACCTCCCACTTAGCTGTTGGAGTGTGGAGATCTTGGCTTTAAGCCCACCTTATGGAAATGGGAGACTCCTCCTTAGCTTGCGCCTGCAGCCATATGGCTGAGGGCAAGCGAAACTCAGGGGCATCTGAACCCCAAGCCTCTGGGCTTGGGCTTGCACGTAGGATGCCCGCCAAACGATTTGAGAACATCTGAAGCCCCAGATGGGAGTGGAGGATGTTTGCCAGCAGTAGGGCCACTTATGGTTCTGGACTGACTCACAGATTTGGAATTGATTTGGCTGATTTGGTTTGGAACATGGGGAAAAAAAATCTCGGGAATATAAGCAAATGACAACCCTGGATAAGAAGGATCCAGTCATCTACTGGAAGAAACAGCAAGGCTAAAATCTGATGTTGGGTTTCCACTTTCACTCAGATCCTACAGAGTATAAAACCACTATTCCACTTTAAGTATGTTCAATGTACTGAGATAACAAAATCCTTAGATGCAGGGGTAGCAGTGGACATAGTCTTTCTGGACTTCAGGAAGGCCTTCGAGACTGTCTCTCACCCCATTCTCATTAAAAAACTGGGGGACTGTGGTGTCGACACCTACATAGTCAAATGGCTCCCTAACTAGCTGGAGGGCTGCACCCAGAGAGTGGTGGTAGATGGGTCAGCGGGGTCCCGCAGGGCTCGGTTCTTGGGCCTGCACTGTTCAACATCTTCATCAGTGACTTGGACGAGGGGGTAAAAAGCACCCTGTTCAAATTTGCTGATGACACTAAGATGTGGGGGGATGTGGGTATGCTAGAAGGGAGGAATAGGCTGCAATTGGACCTGGACAGGTTACAGGGGTGGGCGGATGAGAACGGGATGGGTTTCAACACCAACAAGTGCAAGGTGATGCACCTGGGGGGGAAGAACCAGCACCATACCTACAGGCTGGGGAACTCCCTTCTTGTCAGTGCAGAGGCAAAAAAGGATCTTGGAGTCATCGTTGATGCCAAGATGAACATGGACCAGCAGTGTGGGGATGCAGTCAGGAAGGCCAACTGCACCCAGTCATACATCCACAGATGCATCTCAAGCAGGGCCAAGGAGGTGATCCTCCCCCTCTATGCGGCACTGGTCAGGCTGCAGCTGGAGTAC